CAAAGAGCCGTGCGTTTCGGTATCCAAGCTAAACAGGTCAGTGTCCGAAGATGCATAGCAACTGCCGACGTGATGCTACTGCAGTCTACAATTGTTGTGTGGGTGTGGGTGTTGGGGTGGGGTGGTGAAAGTGGGTGTAAATTAGGTACGGACATAGTTGGATTTTGGGAAGGGGATATGATACATGTAGATGTTTTTCAGTGACAAATGTGAGTGTTCAAAGTTTGTAAACTTATTTATCTTATTTTATGGCAATCAGAAATCTTGGAAATCAGACTCGCCCCACGAAGAGCATGCTCATGTTTCTGGTTGTGATGGTTTCCCGTGACTGCTGGTAATTTTTAATTCACTGGACTGGGGTCAACAGTGTTATAACCCTTCTGAAAAAAGTCATTTTGATCTCTCAAATATAGTTATTAGAACTAAATTAGACATCGAACCGATTAAGATCTCAATTCACGGTTTGATTATTAGTGCAACCTAATTCAACCACTAACTCAACATCCTTCAAATATACTAAGATCTACATTAAAATAAACAATGCATGGGTAGCTTAAGGCCTATATGGATTCTTTGCTCTAAAGTTTACTTGGCTAAAGTTAAGGATTAAAATTCTAGACCACTTTAGCTCACTTTTATGGTATAAAGTTCTTGTAAGATTGGCTAAACTTTAGATAGCACTTTAGACCTTGTGTTTGGAGCCTCAAGAGGTAAAGTTGTCTAAACTTTAGATCATGGGACCAAATGAGAACATTAGTGGCCAAACTCTCACATTCAAAACCCAGCCGGTGGAAGGTTCAAACCCCTGCCCTTCTCCCACGTCCCTACTTATCCCCCTCCACATATTTTGTTCACCGGCTTCTTCTCCCATGTCTCCATGTCCCCACCTGTTATGGCTGTGGGCTCTTACAACGATTATAAGTACGGTTTTTATTGATTTCCATCTAAAAACTGACAATTCAATGGCCTATTTGATGTTCGACACAAACCGGACTACCGAGGTCCTGGTTTGGTTTTTCTTAATTGGACCACTGGTTTAATTATAATAGCTACTCCTTTTGTCCTATATTACTTGACATTTTAGACTCTCTCATGGGCAGTCGGAGACCAACGTAGAAGCCAAAAGATCAAAATGCAACTCAAGAAGTAAAAAATAGAGGTGTATTGGGAAAATAGAAAGACGTATTGAAAAATAAGAAAATCAAGTATTTTGGGTCAAAATTTGAGGAAGTATGCCCTAAATTATTATGAAAGTCCAAATTTCCTTAAAATTGGTTTGTGGTCCCCTTTAATAACTACGGAAATAAAAACGTCTATTTTTACACCCTGGACGATTTAGATAGGCATTTTTATCCTACGTGATGCCATGAGAGGGTAAATCAAACCACGCTAGTTCAGGTGTAAATCAGACCGTTGAGCTACGACTGCTGGCCACCGATCGGTTCGTCTAGAGGTGGTCACCAGATGGAACATACACAGCATCCTTCGCCTATCGATCGCTCGTTCTTCCTGGGAATGTCTGCCATGTTGGGAGCGAGGGAGCTCTGGAAAGCATCGGCGCCTGTCCAATTCTTTTTTCTGGTTGGCTCTCCACGGCCGTCTCTGGATGGGAGACCGAAGGAGAAGACCCGGTCTTCATGATACAGCGGATTGCGCGCTCTGTGCCCAGGAGGATGAGACGGTAGACCACCTGTTAACCTCCTGCATCTTCCCCAGGGAACTTTGGTGCCACGTCCTGCGCCCGCTTGGCTGGGGACGCCTAACGCCGGTGCCGGGCGCAGTGCTACCGGACTGGTGGATGGACTCCAGGCGGCAAGTGCCCAAGGAGTTGCGGAAGGGGTTACCAGACGTACAAGGCAGAGGGCCCCAACCATGCATAAGTGTCTGAGGGACCAGCATAGAAGGTCTGACGGTTGTGGTGCGCGGAGCAGTGGGGTAGAAGGCGCAGTACGCGGTTATCGGAGTAGACGAAGTAGGTGGGGACGAGTTGGCGACGCTAATGGCATGGTTGTGTTGGACGAAGAAGAAGCAGTGTGGGAGCGGACGCATCGGCGAGTAGGCTCAGTGGCGATGCGAGGGGGCGGCCGGCGAGTGGGGCTCAGCGATGGCGCGGGTAGCGGCGGATCGATGACGAAGACCCGATCAGCAGGACGAAGACCTTGTGCAGACAGATGTCACGGCAAAGATTGTGCAGAACAGTCGTTGATGCATAGGGGGCGGCGATGTAGATGCAACGGCGGTGCTATGGCCTGACGAGGCGACACAGCAGCAAGCTAGCAGCCCTGTTGCTCGGAGAAGATGCGCGTAGAACTCAGCGGTGGACGTCATAGGAGCCGAGTGGATTGTGCATAATCGGGTGTACGAACCGAGTACACGCGGGGTGCAGCGATGCTGGAAGAAGTCGGCAGAGGCGTCTCGATCTGTGGTGGTGGTGACGAATCGAAGATGTAGACGTGCACGCTGAATAACCAAGAAGCGATGCAGGAAGGCGTCCCTTCGGCATCGCAAGCCTCGGCCAAGCCACACAGTCAAAGATGTAGATATCGGTGAAGTCGATGCCGATGCCGGAGTAGTACACGCGAGGTCGACAGGCGGTGGATTATGCAACCCCGATCAGTGATCGGGCAAATTACCAAAAAGATACAATAGCAGGGGATCGGGTGTACCCAGCAACGCAACACCCAGCCGATAGCAGCGCGACCCGATCGGGCGGCGCCTCTAGTCAACAGTGTGGCCCAGCATGGCTCGTCTCGTGCGGCGGCGTGAGCAGCCGGAGTCAGACGAGGTAGTGCGGGACGGATTGCACGGCAGGTCGCAGTCGCGCGGGGTTGCACGAGGATGGCGCAGATGGCGGCCACCACCATGGCGGCTCGGTGTTGGGGTCGACCTAGCCCGGGCCACCTCCACGGTGGCGCGGGATGAGGGGACGCCCAGCATCCTCCATGGCGAGCGCGGAGAGGGCGACGGGGTGGTGCGGCATCGTGAGAAGGCTCGATCTGCTGCTAATGACAACGAGGATGGCAGCGGGATCAATAGGATCAGGCATTTAAGCAGTGGTGCTGCCCCCGGCGAAGATCGATCTGTCCCTGGGGGCGCGCGGTGCGGAAGCAGCGGCGGCTAGAGTTAGGATCTAAACCTAGGCGAATGATGCCATGAAAGAATGTGAACAATGGTATGAATGCGTGATTGATTGATTAGAGAAAATACCGTGTTACATATAGAGATGCCAAAGCATGCAGGCTGATCAAGCCTAGCTAACAGCATGCAGGCCACATATGGTTCGGAACACATGCAGGCCACACATGACTGGGATGGCCGGCTGAATAGGCCAGCTCAAGACCCAGCACACACCTACACATCCTAACACAGCATGCAGGCCACACTCGACAGTTCTTAAAGAGCTTGGCAGAGCTTGGCATGGTGATTCAAGAGGGCAACGAGTGGATCTCCGAGAGGTTCACGGCTATATCGTCGCTTCTGGCTCGAGCAACCGGGTTGCGCTAGTGCTGGTCCACGATAAGTCACACGCTTTCAGTCATGTGTAGTCCATACTGATTCTATCGGCCTCGCTTGTTTTCTTTTCGTTGTCTCGTTGCTCAGCCTGTTCAATCCTATTCCTGGCATCTCGCCTACGGATGGTTCAAGCTTGTAACTTTGCTTTCTCCTTCTTAATGAAATACACACCTGAAGTCGTGTTATAGAAAAAAAAGAATCAACAGTGGACAGCACATGATTTTTGCATCAGATTATCTTCTGACAAATTAATACTATAGCATTGTCATACTCCCTCTGTTCCAAATTATAAATCGTTTTGATTTTTTTGGTTTATCTATTTTTTTATATATATAGACATATTATTATATCTAGATGCATATCAAAATGAACATTCTAAAAAGGTAAAAGCGACTTATAATTTAGAACGGAAGGAGTACAATAAAAAATTGCAACCCAAATTCCTTTGACTATTCAAGTAGAGGCTAAACCAAATATTTTTCTTTCTTTGACAATTGGTTCTCTCTCAGAGGTTATATGTTCATTCAATTAAATTCTGATTCCATTGGCAGAAATTTAATTTTTGCTGAATTCTAGCGACACATACACATGGGCATGCTAATTAAACTGAACAGTATGTGTGGCTGCTGAATTCTGGTGACGAACTTGGCCACGTGGTTATGAATCAAAGATTGAGATCGCTGGTTTTAGTTTGGGCCAATATTAATCCATTAATTGATGCTACGTGACTGCTGAATTATACGTAGTAACGAACAAATGGGCATGCTAATAAGTAACTACCAGTTTTCTTGGTCTTCCTACGATCGATGCAACAAGTAACAATTCGTTTGTTGTTTGAAAAATTCGTTACAGTTACGTTGACATGTAAACATCATACTGTTTCTAGAAATACTTAGCTTACGCGCGTCATACTGTTTCTAGAAATACTTAGCTTACGCGCGTAACATATTCTGACCAAAGAAAAAAAAAACACGTTACATGCATGAAAACTACTACCTTGATATCTGACCGGACCAAATCAACAGAAGTCATCCGAGAAATGAGCTAGTAGAGAGCAATGAGCTAGGTCTGCCATGGCATGGTGGACTAGAGAATCGTCCGAGAAACAGCGTAGCTACCGTTGCCAGCATTGCATGGCGGTGGCGCCGCGCCGTGGCTTAACTTTGGCTCCGATCACCTAGCTAGTTCGTCGTCTCTCTCTCTATATACTAGACCAACTGTTGTGTGCTGTGCTCAATCATTTTCGTACCTCGATCAAAGTCTCAAACGACTTTGAAAACCAAACCAAAACCATACGTGGGGTGAATTTGAGATCCTTGATGAGGCAAATGGAAATGGGAGGACACTCTCTCTTCGCCGGAGCTGCCGCAGCTCTCCTCTTGCCGCTCGTGTTCATGAGAACGGCTGTGGTTCAGGCGACACTTACGGTTGACGACGTCGGGGGGTGGAGACCCGCCGCCGCTGGGATTTCCGAGGCACCGGAGGCGATGAACTCGAGCTACGGCGGCACGCTGGTGGAGGCAACTGCGCATGCAGCTGGTAATAACGAATCGAACGATCTGGCAATTGATATGCTGCATACATGATCACCGATCCTATGTTCCAAGCTGTAGATCATTTTTCTTTTGTCCCAAGTTAAATTAGTTTAACTTTGACCAAGTTAATTTAAAGGAGAATGAATCAACATATTTATTTGACCACATCAAAGTAGTTTCATTAAATCACTTGAAATATGCATTGATAATACATTTATTTGGTTTAGTAAATATTAACATATTTGTCTATGGTTAAACTTGAAGAAGTTTGATTTATGACAAAACTACATGCTTCATAGAAAACAAAATAGGTCTAGCGGCTATTATTTTTATTGATTATTAAAATCTACCAAACTGATGGTTGGTTGTTTCTTATTTTCGTGAGAATTTCTGAGGTTTATTCTTTTTATCGGAACTTATGAGACCTGTGAACTAATTTAGGGAATCTAATAGCTCCATCTGCTATTCTTAAGGAACAAACCCCACCACCCTTCTTATTCAAGCTCTATTTGGTACGGCTCCTCCTCCAGGTGCCACACTGCTCGAGCCGGAGGGAGGATCCTTAGATCGTAGCTCCTCGTCTATACACGAAAATGGCTCCAGCTCCTCCATATGCCTAATAACAAGTCCTCCTCCTCGGGATTTTAGTGCAGCTCCTCCGGCTTCTCTGCCAAAGCTGCTACTGGAGCTAGAGCCAGCATTACACCAAACATGCCCTCAAATAAACCTTTGTTTGAGAGGTCATATCACTAGGACAACATACGGTAACTAAGTGATCAGTAGTGTCAAAACTATAAATTTATTGAAGGGTTTTCTATGTAGGTTTGAAACTTGAATCATGCCCCTCCCACTCGTTATAAGCTTAAGGGAAGAAAAGTATGAGGAAGATGGGGAGGAGAAGAACCAATCAACCCTCTTTTCTTACCCTACAAATTCCACCCTTTTATCAAGCTTTCGCTTGTGGTAAGGGATATGCGACTTATCTAAACATTAGCAAGCGTCCAAGAAATACTCCTTTTTTTATCCCCGATCGATGAACATAAGTTCAATCTATCAAACATAACTAGAGTCTTAGAGCATCTCCAACAGTAGACCCCCTAAATCAGGGCTCCTACTTCTTGAGCAAGAGCTCCCCCTACTTCTAGGGCCCTATTTTCAGCATTCAACTCGATCTAGCAGCAGTGCAACACCGCCTAAATCTAAAGCCCCCATTCTTTTTTCTCTCATATATTATGCATCGAATATTTCATTCTTACTTATTTGTAATGCATAGAATTGAACCATATTGAAGTTAATGATTTCAAACACGACATATTCAAATTTATAGATAAAATTGCCCTTCACATGACATAAAACTAAGAGCGTACAAACTACTAGTAATCATGTAAGTTAGCAATATGAAGTGCCCACAAATGCTCGAGAAGATCCTCTCAGAGCATGCCATTTGCTTGCATGTCTTTAATCTCCTCTTGTAGCTTTAAGAACTCACTCGATACAAAGTGGATCACACCATTGGTAATCCTTCTCCCTCGGGACCTTGTAGCCATCTCCATCATATTTATCTTCCCCTTGTGTATCTTGCTCATTCTCAACAATCAAGTTGCTCATGACCATAGCACATTGTTGGCATCATTTACCATATGGTGTCCTATTGTTCCTCTAGCAGGATGCCTCACTATGGCAAATGAAGCTAGTAGAATACCAAATGAACTCTCCACATCCATTCTCATCCTTATCGGGCTTTTATGAAATAAATTTTCTTGTTTTTCTTGTGGATTGTTATAACTCTTCACAAAGTTGCCCAAGAAGGGTAGAACCAATTAGCAAGATAGTATCCCATGATGTATTTGTTACCATTCACCATGTACTCCATAGGTGAAATGATTTAGATGGCTAGAAGGGGTGAATAGCCTATAAATTTTCTTCTACAAAAGCACAAGACAAAAGCAAAGTTGGTTAGTATAACAAATTATCCTAATAGCAACAACAAGCTTTAGCTCTAATTCACCCAAACACGCCCCTACACAATTTCAGTAGCAAAGGTTCCTAATCTAAATCACAACAAGAGCAACTAGCAACTAGCTACACTAGAGATCTACTAACAAATAGTGACTTGTAACAAGAACAGCTAACTACTCTACCAAGCAACTATTGTGAGACAAACATTACTTTGTCTTCAACCTCCTCTCTCCTATGTATTTTCTGACAAGAAATATTAATATTCCTTTTAAACTTAGCGACACAAAAAATAAGAAGCATTAATTAAGTAAAATAACAACTGAACTACTTTCTCCGTTGTACTACTCTCTCTGTCCCGTTGTAAAAACAAGAAGCATTAATATTGCTCTAGATCTCATTGTACTACTCTCTCTGCATTGTAAAAACAAGAAGCATTAATATTGCTCTAGATCATATTATACTACTCTCTCTGTCCTATGATATAAAAAAATTAAGTGATTTTTAGACCAAATAAAGGAACCTGACAAGAGATCAGCTTGCCCTTATCCGTCTAGAGCAATAGGTTTTTTTTTCTTTTTGCCCCTGCCTAGAAGTCTACTTATGATTTTACCGCTTCTTTTTTATTTATTTTGTGAACCCTCGCGATTTTTGAAACGAAGCAGCCTTTGCTCCGAATTTGGATGTCCGCCACTTAAATAAAGATGAAATAAACGATTTTTTTTAAAAAACATAAAAGAAGACGGGAAATGACGGTGATGCCCCTTATCCATCTCTTCCTCCCACCCTCCACCGGTCCACCCTGTCTCTCTCCTCCCGTGAGTTACCCGAACAGAAAGACGGGAGCGGCGGCTCGGAAGGACCGGCGGCGCGGCGCACAGGCACAGGCGCCGCGGCGCGCGGGCGCAGCCATGCTGCGGGCCGCGTGTGTGCTGCTCGACGCAGGCGGGGCCGTGCGAGGCGAGCGCAGGCGTGGGCGAGAGTGCAGGAAGAGCAGAGGCGTGGTAGGTCGACGGCGACCAACCTCCCTACGCATGGAGCCAGTGAGCGCGCTCCTGACCCTCACTCAGCTGTATTTAGAGGATGAGCTCGAGTTATAGGAAGTTGAACTCCGGAGGCTTTTGGCACATAACCATGCTCTGGTTGAGGAGCTTGAAGTGTTAAGCAGGGAAATACAAGCAGGCTCGTGGTGAAATTGACAAGCTTATTACCACTAGGAAAGAACTATCTGCAGAGTCTGCATCCTCATGGAAGAGATGAACAGGGAACAATCCGTTAAACAGCAGCTAACTGTGCATACAAGTTACGAAATTTGGTGGTTTACAAACTGGACCATGTCCCCTTTTGGCATTGCACATTTGTAGTGGCTTTCGAAGTTTTTTTTTTTAATACCTGTTGTTGGAATTGTAGATTTGCAGTGGTTTTCAAAACGAAGCATAAATTTGCCCAAAACATGCCCAGCTGCTGCTTGTTTCTAATAAACCTGTGTAGTGCTCGATTTGGTGATGAGAATGTATTTTATTCTTATCTTATCTAAAACATACCTGTTACTACGACATGGTTATTCTTATCTTATCTATTTAAAAAGGACTTGTAAACAAGAGATTTAGTCCTCTTTTTGGGCTTTTCGCTTCCTCTATTATGGTTAACAATTTCTCTGTCTCCTTCCTTATTCTCACTTCCTCTTCCTCCTCCCTTATCATCGGTTCCTCTTCCTCCCTCCTTTTTTAATAAGAAAAACCTTTTTTGAAATAAAACAATTCCTATTCATTCTTTTGCACTCAACATAGGAACATCCTAAACTAACGGGGACACAAATTTTTTTTCTATGAAATAATTGTCACATGTATATTTTTAGGGTTTCTCAAAAGGTATTTATTCATTAGAATAATTCTTTGATGCATTGCTTTATGCAGCCGAGGACCTAATCAGTAATGGCCAAATTCAAGCCATTGTAACTCCTCAGAAGTCAGTCGTCAAAGCAGTAAAGTTTTCCCAGTTTGGAAACTTGATGTTTATCTGGATGGATGAAACATATTCGGGTATACATGGTGGCTTTGACAAAAATAGTAGTGGCACTGGGACTATGGAACTGGAACCTGTGTTCTGGCAAGAAAATCCAGTAATGACATCTAAAGGGAGTGACAAGATACTTGACCCTGAACCTTCACTCAATCCAGAATCCAAGAGCACAAATGCCAGAAAATTATTAGTGGAACGATTATTAGTGGAAAGAAACTTGGGGAAGGTGTGCGGTGACAATACTATGAAGCCACTCAGGATTGGCGTGCCACTAAAACCTGGTTTTGAAAAATTTGTGAAGGTTTCCGATCCTTGTTTATATTGCAATGGTACTGATATTTGTTCTAGTACCAAGAAACAAAATATCACTGGCTACAGCATTGATGTCTTTGAAGCTGCTATGAAGAAGCTACAGGACCCTCCACGCTATGAGTACTGTGTTTTCGACGGTTCTTATGACGGTCTAGTAGGCAGCGTATCTTCAGGGGTGAGCTAGCATCACTCCTGCATAGCTCCATTGCATACTTTAATACTATGTCTTAACTCATAAGATTATAACTTGTTTCCACTAATCTTCCTTTTTCTTGTAACTCTTCTGATTTTCTTGGAACAATAACAAATTAGCAGAACCTGGACGGAGCAGCGGGTGATGTGACCATAACCTCTGACCGAATCAATACCGTGGACTTCACAATGCCATACACACAGTCGGGCGTGGCTTTGCTTGTGCGCCGTGACCGATCGGATCCAATCCAGTGGAGATTTTTAACCCCACTAAGCAAGGAGCTTTGGTTTGCAACCGTGGGATTCTTCTGCTTCACTGGGTTTGTTATCTGGATGATTGAGAGACCGAAAAATCCGGAGTACCAAGGATCAGCTATGGGACAGTTCAGCACTGCTGCCTACTTTGCTTTCTCCACTCTGACGTTTTCTCACGGTCAGCATTTTGGGCTTAACTTTGTTTTCTTTAGTTTAGTTTCTTACCACAGTTCATAAATAATCAGCTGGAACCTCGTTCCACTATCTAAAAAAGTTCATAAATGATCATCATGTTTATTCGATTCACAGGTCAAATTGTTAGAAGCCCATTGTCACGATTTGTTGTGGTGATATGGTGTTTTCTAGTGCTGGTCCTGGTACAGAGTTACACAGCAAGTTTGTCATCCTTGTTAACTGCAGATAGGCTCCAGCCTTCGGTGAAGGATCTGAACCAACTTTTGAAGGCTGGCGACTCTGTTGGATACCAGAAGGGGTCATTTGTGCACTCCCTCTTGATGCATAGAAATTTCACCGCAGGAAAGTTAATTCCTTATTCTTCGGCAGATGATTATGCTAAAGCTTTGAGGAATGGATCCAAGAACGGTGGTGTGTCAGCTATCGTTGATGAGGTCCCCTATCTAAAAGCTTTCCTCTCTGACTCAAGATACGAGGAAGAATTCGAGATTCAGGATCAAATATTCAGAACCCCTGGTTTTGGATTTGTAAGCTGCTCAATCTCGTGCTTATTGACTCTTGAAGAGAAAACTGCATGTTTTCAGTATCTGCGGGAACAAATTAGCTATCTTGATTAATAATGCTATATGTCTTTCCTTTTTATATTTAGGTATTCAATTCATGTCATTGTCAACTGGTGAATAATCTTTCCAGTGCAATTTTGGACATCACTGGAGGGGAAGAGAGCTCAACAATCGAAAAAGAATGGTTGGGCACAAGCACAGCTGATGATGCATCGCTGACCATAACCAAGGCAGATTATACACCTCTCACTCTGCGAAATTTCTCTGGTCTCTTCCTGGTTAGTGGACTTGTATCTTCTCTAATGCTGCTGATAAGCATCGCCAAGTTGGCTTACGCCAGATTGACCGGAGCTGAAGACGCTGATGCAGTACAAACCGCCGGCAGCACGAACCCGGCGACCTAATATCATCCACTTGAGAACACCACGGACAACATTTCTGTCCTTGATCACCCCCATCCTGAAGCCACAAACGGTGATCACCAAGGTGGCCACGGGAGTGATTGGTCTGTCCCTGAGGAGCTCCTCAATGAAGCAATAAGCCACGAACGTGGACATAATAGCAGTGCAAGTGCTGGAGAGTGTAGTGCTAATGCAGTGCATGATGGCTCTGCGCCTGCACAATCATTGAAGATGATCGAGATGAACATTGTCTGAGATGTTGGAACAATCCTACGCCGCCCCTTCCACTCCACTAACATCTGTAGCAACTAGCAACTAACCAACTACGTACGACGGGGCGCTGTGCCTGGGGATGTATATTTGTTAAGTTGAATTTTACTTTGATTCTGAGATGTCGATGTTTTCAGTGTTGTTGGAAGATGTAACAGTTTAGGAGATAGCAGCAGTTCGGTTTGCTTTATTTCGTATCAGTAGTCTTTGGCACCTATTATATGGGCTTTATACAGAGATGTAAAAAATTTTGTATAATGCTAAATTGTTATTGGTTCATAAAATCATATAAACCACTAACGTATAAAAATAATTGGTTTTAAATTGAGGGGCCAACATCCAGTTTTATAGATGAGGAGAAAATTCTTGACATAATAATATTATGAGGAGGCAATAAAAATAGTTTTTTTTTCTATTCTTGCTACACCATACAATCACTAGCTGAAACCAAGTCAAGTGGGCCGAATAAGAATCCGTTTGGTACGGCTCTAAGACTTTAATAGAAACGGCGTGGCTAGCGCCTAGACGGACACTCGCGCGGTCCGCCTTCGCCCCGCCCCATGCGCGCACTTCACTCGTCTTTGCGCCCATTGGTCGCCCCTGACCCCAATCTCTCTCTCCGCGCAGGCAGCACTCAGGAGCCAGGATGAGCAGGTGAGGACGAGTATGCCCCCAGCGCGCTCCGACCGTAGCCCCACTGTCCGCTGGCCCCCAGCGGCCCTGTCCGCCAACCCCCCGGCGTGCCTCGCGACCAGTCCGCTCGTCCCCGGCCGTAAAGCATAAAACACTTGCAACATGAAAAACATTTGAATGCAACATACGTCTGAAAGTATATGAAACATTAGGAACATGCACTTGCAACATGTGTGTGAAACGCACGAAACATCCAGTTTTGCAACTTGCAACATGAAACCACTTGCTGCAACATAAGACTGCAAAAGCAAAAACATTTAGAACATACTGTTGCAACATATGAACGAAACACACGAAACATCCAGATTTGCAACTTGCAACATGAAATCACTTGCTGCAACATAAGACTGAAATAGCTGAAACATTAAGAACGTACTGTTGCAACATATGTGTGAAACATATGCAACATCTAGATAAAAAAGATTGCAACATACATATGGAAACAAATGAAACATTTTAAACAAACACTTGCAACGGGCTTCTGCAACACTTAACATATGCAACATGTGCAACATATTACCGATCTACTTTTGCAACACCAAGATAAAATAATTGCAACATACATCTGAAAACGTCTGCTTGAAACATACATATGCACCATTGGGGAGGGAAGGCTAGGCCAGGCCAGTCGATTCCGGCCGTCAGGGTGGAAGCCGGAGGCGAGCCGCGGCTGCGTGAGCACCACCCGCACCGGCCATGTTCGTGGGTGCCCTTCGCTCGGCGGGGCAAGACGGCCGGTGGCTAGGTCAGCGCGCACGCCCAACGGCGATGGGCGACGGACGAACGGCAAGGGAGCGAGCGACGCAGGTGACTGCCACACATGTGAGCAACGTAGGGAATGAGGGCGCGCGGCATGGTCGACGATGGGGGAAGGGCACGGCGTGGCAGGCTGACAAGCGTGCGTTAGGGAAGGGGTGGACGGATGAGCAGCCACGCCGAGCGACGAGGTGGTTGCCATGCAGGTGAACGACGCAGGGAGTGAGGGCACGCGGCGCGCCCGACGACAGGGAAAGGAAATGGCTAGGCAACTGTCGATGTTTTACCACCGATAGCCTGCCACAGGGGTACTGTGGCAGTATCGTTCGGGCTTCGGCGTATGCTGAACTCGATGGTAAACGCAAGAGGCAGTCGATTTATCCTGGTTCAGGCCCTCGATCGTAGATCGAGTAACGACCCTACGTCCAGTCGGCGTTTTGCCTTTTGCGTTGGATTGATTATGAAGTGTTATGTTGGACAATTGTTGTCCTCTCTTTCAGGAGCCCTGCCCTCCTTTATATTATCAGGAGGCCAGAGTTCTAGTCGGTTTACAATGAGATTTCCTAGTAGGATTACTTAATAGTTCTTCTATTTAAGATTACATGGGAAGAATCCTAGTTGAACTAGATCTTTTATCTCTCTTGCGGGGTATCCTGTAGGTCCCACATCGACAGCAACCCAACGAGCGCGCACTGGAAAAGGGGGCGGACGGATAAGCAGCCACGTTGCTTTGGGGCCGGACGGATAAGCACGAAGGAGTAGGGTGTGGGCTCGAGAGGGACAGGCGGATAGCACAAGGGGATGGGGATTTGTTTTTTATTTGAGACCCGCTCCTGGGAAGACGCGTCTATACGCAGAGTCACGGACGGACGCAGTATTTCCGTAGGGCTGGTTTAGATCCTTGGAATTGAATTTATTCTAATAATTACAATTTAGACATAGATTAATTAAGCTAATATAGTTGTATATGGAATATATTTGTATATTTATTGTTAGACATACCAGATACATACTTATATGTTGTATTTCTATTGTATGGAACTGAGTTGAAGAGTGCGTTATAAGTTATAGAGTGAAATTGCAGCATAGTGATGTATAGAATCCATTTCTATTTTCCACCCTATGAATTTGAGATAACCGTATTTGTGAGCCTGAAAAAATTATAGAATATCAAATTCTAAACCAAATAGCCTACTTCATTAAGTAAATTTTAATTTTTCTAAAATGACAGGATCCAAACTGTCCCTAATAGAAAAGCCAGTGAAGTCAGGAGCTATATTCTTTTGATATACGAAAGAGTAATCGAAGCCGTTTTTTTTATAATAAAGAGCAATTCGTGGTTCTTTCCATCTCACAAGCACATGCAGGAAGGAACCGTTTTAAACAGGTCCATTCCCTCTCGCACCATTGACCATTGTACGTGTGCCTTGTGGGCATGGATGCCCAAGCCCAAAGTCCCAGGAAAGTCAAGCCATCCTCCGGCAGAAATGGATCGAGCTGCAGCTCTGCGTTCTCCACTCTCCAGTCTCCATGGAAAGCTTGGGCGCGAAAAAGAGCGCTCATCGCTTCGTCCTCACGCTGCTCGCGCGTCTTGCCTCCTCGCCGCCCGCTAATCATACAATAATTAACTCAAATTAACTAATACTATTACTAGCGAGGTCAGTTTATGAGCCCGCTTGTTAACCAGCGGCTCCGGATCTCCCCACCCCACACGCCCCGCCCCGCGCCGCACGCGTCGGCAGGCACGGCCGGTCCATGTAGCGCGCGCCCGGACACGGAGCACCCGCAAGGCCGCAACCGCAGCCCGGCTTGTCGGAAGCGCGAGGGGCGAGATGGGGGCGGAGGCCGGCGAGCCCAGCTCCATCCTCAGGTGAGCAAGCTTCCCGCTCTCCTTTTTATCCCCCCCTTGCTGCACGTCTCCGCGGACCGCGGCCTTGCCCTGCTCTGCTGTACTCTCCTCGCCGTCCGCGTGATTGGAGACGGAAGGGAGTGGGGGTGCTGGCAACCGCGAGGCGGTGCCGTGCCGGTTTTCGCGCGACGCTTTGGGAGAGTTCAATGCTTGCTTGATTTTTGGATGGTGGAATCGTGCGGGGAAGGCGTTTCCATGTACTGCATAATTTTTTCCCCGTCTGCTGCCATTTGGTTCGTCAGATTGGCACACAACAGTACAACACAGAGTGGATAAGGATTTGGGTCGTTGTGCCCCGCCCTCAGGCAAGTCCATCTCCATGGGCGTTGGGCAGCCTAATCCTCTGCTTCTTTTGCAGATTATTGTGCTCGCAGCGTAGAGGCATTGTATTTTAGAGGTTCTTTTTTTTTAGATAATGAGAGGTCCTTTTATTACTGAAAGAAAGAAAGAAACTGGTTGATTCGTTAGCAATTTCGTCGCAACTTGGAATATAAATAGCGCATAAGTCCTACTCCTTCTTTGGTACTGTATGTATGCAAGTCAACTATCTGACTCTCTGGCCGCTTGATGTGGTGGCATAATTAAACTACACACTCGTTTCAAAAAATTAAAAAATAAACGACACACTCTTCTGTGCTTCATCATAGGTAAATCGAACCTACTAGATTTCACTTCGCTTAGGGGTTAGTATCAAGTTCAACTTTAGCAAGAATGGCTATGTCCATCTTCTTTGTTACTAGGGTCATGAACAGTTTAGAAAGTAATAATGGTTTGATGCTAGAGTAGACATTTTTCAGGAGAAAAGAAAAAAACAGTTTTGTGTAGAGCTACTGATTCAGGCCAGATTGCAATGCATTGGAAGTTCTGACCATTTCCCTGTACATATGTTCTTGCAGCTTAGCTGCTGCCTTTTCCTATGGAGTCGCATCTATGGCAATGGTTTTCGTGAACAAAGCAGTTCTTATGCAGTATGTTCACTCCATGACCCTCCTCACTTTACAGGTATTGCTGAGCATCACGGCCTAGAAAATATTGCATGTTTCTATGTTCGACTAAGTCTGATTGTTATGTTCAATTTCTCTGCTACTTTCTGCAGCAAATAGCGACGGCACTTCTGATACATTTTGGTCAAGTTCTAGGGATGTCTAAAAGAAAAGATTTCAGCTTGATAACCGCGAAGAAGCTTCTTCCAGTGTCTATTTTCTACAATGCAAATGTGGGATTTGCTCTAGCAAGCTTGAAAGGGGTTAACATCCCAATGTATATTGCAATCAAGAGGATCACTCCCCTTGCTGTGTTGGTAGCTGGGTGCATGCGGGGAAAGGGGAAGCCACCGACACAGGTCTGACCATTGAAGTGCATTTCTTTAGTCTATTTTGCACTTCCTTTAACATATGGTACAATTATTACTTAAGCTGAACTCCCCTCACTGTCTCCATTAAGTGTGGTTAAGCTTAATCAAAGTTTATGAGAATTGTAGCCTTACTGGGTACCACAAATCCTTCTTTTCAACGTTCCTGCCAAAATATCTTAATATTCTTGGTTAGTATCACTGCTTGGCTACTGGCGTCCATGTTTCCAGTAAAATTTTGCAAGCACTTTAGGTATATATTCTGAAAGGCACTGACAATGTAACTGAAACTCTTGATCTGCTGTACATTCTTGTTTTGAAATTTCATCATTTGCAACTTAATTCAAACATTAGGGAAATGCACTGTTTCTCCCCTGGGAATTAACAGCTCTTATTGTTGTTTGCCACATCCTGATCAATTCAAATTACTTTAGGTCATTCTTTCAGTTATCTGCACCGCCACTGGTGTCCTCATTGCAGCACTTGGAGATTTTTCCTTTGACCTATATGGATACTGCATGGCTCTAACATCAGTCTTCTTCCAGGTTGTGTGATTTCTACTCTGTTTTGTTCTTAGAAATTTATTCTATATCTTTTGAGAGTTTTTTAAGGCAAGGTTATGTATCTTTGTATCTGACAGCTGAATGTATATGCATTATGCAGACTATGTATTTGATTCTGGTGGAGAAATCAGGTGCTGAAGATGGTCTTTCCTCAGTGGACTTGATGTTTTACAACAGCATATTGTCACTTCCATTTCTGTTTTTCCTCATTATAGCAACAGGAGAATTCCCCCATTCTCTTACAGTATTATCTGCAAAGGTCAGTGATATGAATGCAGTATATTAAAATTTAACCAGCACATTTAAGCTAGCAATCTCTGTATGTTCCCTTGTTTCACACCTTTAACTCAAGAACAAGAATGACAATTAAAGTTAGTTCTCCAGAGTTTCTGAAGCCAATGGTTTCACACTTCGCTGCTATTCATTAACATAATAGTACTCTTGAAGTTTCTGCGTCAATTATTTGTTGTATGTCTCCATTCCTAACTTGCATTGTCTGGTGACACTTGAACTGCAGGCAGCCTCTCTGACATTCAGTGTTATTCTCATTATCTCACTGGTGATGGGAATCGTTCTCAATTTCACTATGTTCTGGTGCACAATTGTGAATTCTGCTCTGACTACAACAATAGTAGGAGTTCTCAAGGGCGTCGGGTCTACGGTAAGTTTGCCTATTTATGTATGACCAGTTTGACCTTTCATTGGAACCCTTGATCTAACTGAGCTCTGAAGTTCTAGAACTAATAAGTAAATCTTATATCATGTTTTCCCCATTGGCTTTTCAGGCCCTCGGTTTCGTTCTGTTGGGAGGTGTCGAAGTGCACTCTCTGAATGTTACTGGACTGGTGATCAACACATTTGGCGGTGTATGGTACACTTATGCGAGGTATAAGCAGAAAAAGAAAACACCATGGAAGATTCAACATGATGTAGAGTCACATGCCCACAAGTAGCGTCAGATTAACTAGTTCTTGTAGTTATACTAAATTCTTTGATCAATTAATAACTGATTGCATGTTTAAATACATCTGAACTCTATTCCACCACTAGCAACTAGGCTGGTACAATTAAGTGAAGTAACGAGCATCTTATGGTGACGTTCAGTACTATAGGGGAGTGAAGTCAGTCAATTTGGCCACTCCAATGTGCAATGTAGCACTTTTGTCCCCCATAGAATTCATTTATTTAAAGAGAGAAATCCATGGGGCTAGCTGGATGCAGTGATTGCCGAAATTGAAATACTATACTGTTATCATTTATTTAGATAATTATATTTGATGTTGTTGCATTTAAAGTTTCATTGACAAAGTTGTCTAAGTTATATGCTTCGTAACCAAAACATAATATCCTTTTAGTTTGATTCGCATCAGAGTTTTGTCCATGTAACCCAATGCAAAGATCTCTCGCTCTGTGCGGGATCTAGGGAAGGGTGTTAGTGGCAAGCCTTACCCTCGCCTGTGCAATGCGAGAAGACCGGGACTCGAACCCAGGACCTTCGGTAAGACTCTACCACTTGCACCATGTATACTTCCATTATTTTGTTGAAATTTTTTCAACTCCTATACCAGCGCATGGGCAATCCTAGTTGATGATAGGTAGCACGCCTTACTTTTATGGCGGATTCTGCTGTTGCTGCAGTTTTCAGCAGCACAAGCTCAATTTGCAAACATTTTACAGCAACTCAAATCTTTTGCACAAAAGGAGAACAACAGAACCCAGCATGACATTTGACAAGAGTGTAAAGCGTACTGCTCCATCAAAGCAAACAAAAAAAAACGTTACTTTAACTACAAGACATTCTATCGCCCATCCCCTCACTCCTCCGGCATCAGGATTACTTAGGATATCACCAAAGCCCATAGGCGCTAAAGTGCTTCACCCTGAACTTCCACTCTCCCGTGGCAGCATCGAAGGACACAAACTCTGCGCCCTGCTCCTCCACCTTCTTCACCAGCATCTCCCTGTACCTCTCCACCCTTGCCCCCTCACAGTACTGCTCCCTGGTCTTCTTGTTTACGCACTTGATGTTCAGTAGAGTCACCTCCGCGGCCTTGTTCAGCCCCTCACCCACAGGGGGCTTCTTGTTGTCGTCCTTGTACACAATCACCTCCCGGTTGTTGAACTCCACGATTGACTCCAGATCCAGGCACCTCACGTCTGTTCCCCCAGAAACTTGATGCTACCGTAGCCATGTCGCCCCGCGACAAAGTCCCTCACCCGGCCACAGTAGCCTGCCTCCGCACGTTCTTTGGCCGCAATCTCCTCTATACTAGGCTCTGTGAAGTAATCTGCACGTGGAAGCTTAGGCAACAACCTCTCGACTTAAGTAACATTTCCATTCCCATGCTGAACCATGGCCCTGGCCTCATGCTGATTGTCGTTTTCCACTGCTGGAGGCCTGATGCTTGGTAACATGGCAGACTTACCACGCTCACTTTCAGTGGAAGCATCTGCACAACTTAATGAGATCGGTAACTGACATTTGCCCTATCTGGGGGCAATATTTATATGAAAATTCCAGTACTGTGATGGAAAGATTTACCTTCATATTTGTTCAAATCAGTGGCATTCTTCAAAGTCGATTGCCAGTCAGTTTCTCTCCGCGAAGGCCACTGCTCAATTGGACGAATTACCAGATTCCTTGGGTTCTCTCTAGGGATGAAAAAAGCATCCGCCTTCGGTCTTGCTGGAGATTCTTCATCATCAGCAAAGAATGGAACCTATAGGAATAATAGAAGCAACTGAGCAACATGTTCAATCATTTTTCAATCATTCAATGCTTTCTCAATGGCTTCGAAAAGCTCTATGAACAAAACATAAAACAAAACTTTGCACACAAAATTATTCTATTCTTACAGGTCAGGTCACTCGTTACCTTGCTATCAGATATTGGATTATATTTTCTCGGGAGCAGTTTTATCCTTCTCTGTGACAAATGCCTAGGAACTGCCATGGACAATGATCTACTTGGAAGAGGCTTCTCAGCAACCTGCAAGACAGTAAGAAGTTACAATCAAGCAAACCCCTTTCACATGTGGTGCCTGCTTATGGCACCCTTAGTACACCTTCCTAATCAACAACCACCATCTTGCTCCTATCTCTACTGTCCACCTGCTACATAAACAATTAGAAATGCTAAGGAGAAACAAAACTAACCGGCAAACTTGATATTCCATATTGAACTGAAGGTGAAGATCCACCATTCCCAATGGACATCTGAGGCATTGCTGGAAGCGTCCCAAATGGATTTGAAACAGGAGCAGGCTGCATGACCATACTGGACTGGCTAGGAGTTCTGTGTAAAATGCAACAGGGATACACCATGTTAAACTAAATAATGTATTACCTTAGACAAAAGGAAAAAAAAAAGAGGAATAATATGTGTTGCTAAAACTCATTTGTGAATTATGTTATGCCAAAACCATGCTCTTAGACTACAGATATAAAATAACAATCTGCAGTCTCACGGCATTAAATATAAGCTAGTCTCCATGAACCATCAAGTTTTTTCCCCTTCTTTGCCTACACCATTCTCCACATTAGACTGATCATAATATTATTTTTCCTTAACCTTGTTATAACTAATCAGTGTTTAATCCATCGAAAGGAAATTACTAAATAGGAAAGGAATAATCATGTGCATTTGAAAAGTAGCAGAAGATCATACGGCTGTCCCATCAAGGCCTGATTCGTAGTGTTGGAAAAACCAGGGAATCCACCTGTAGAAGCTGCTGTATCCATGCAGGCATGCATTTGAACATAAGTTAAGCCCAAATTAGTCTTTGAAGATAAATTGTAAAAAGAAGAGAGGTTTAAATATAAAATACTGACCTGGTTGAATTGCAGGTTGGAAGGAGAATATGTTCAAAGTTTGAGCAGGGGGAGATGGCTGAAATGTTGACTGAATCATTAGAAGCAAAATAAATTAAGTACTAATAAATAAGAAATGATAACAAGAATCTAGTAATAAAATATAAGGACAAAGACAAAGGATGCTTACTATTGGAAAAAGTGAAGGACCGCTACTGCTAAACAGACCGCTAGGATTAGTTGACCCAAATAGGCTCCCAGAGGAGAAAGCCGGTGTACTTGATGTCTGTTGAGCAAATGCAGATGAAAATAGTGGGGCTGATTGAGTGTTAGCCAACGATGAGCCAGTACCGAATGGACTTGAATTATTCGTCATTGATGTGCCAAATAATGACGATGTAGAAGGAGCAGGATTGGTATTTCAAAATAATGATGGCGAATTACTTGCTGGAAATGTAGAAACACCTGTTTGCCCAAACATTGTGGTACTACTGGATGATGTGAATGGGCTCGAACTTGCAACTGATACATTGTTAAATGATGAGGTGCTGAATGGTGAAGTAATAGTTGAAGCAGGCTTAGGAGCAAATAGATTGTTTGTTGAAAATGGGTTTGTGGCAGGCTGGTTAAATGGATTGGGATTGCTTGTCGAAGCAAAAGCATTCTGTGGCATTGATGATGGAAAGCTAGGTGCCACTGCTGGAGTTCCAGAAGTGTTTGGTCCACCTGCAAGTCCAAATATTAAGAATGATGCACATGTTTCACAAGAAAAAAGTACATGTACCAAAAGAAACCTAGCAATGATATAATAAACAATTAATAAAGGGAATAACAGTTATTTGTCAATTCTATTCAGGGTCCAAGCTAAGCCCCTATAAGATAATGGTTACTGCAGTTAATACAAACAAGCAGGACAAAGTAATAAATGGAATTAAAGATGTGGTTTAAAGAGTGTTTGCAAATCAAGCAAAAACCCTGATCCCCAAATAATTTTCCTCACCCTTGTCTCCACGCTGGTAGTCTTCCCACCTCAATTCTTCATGACTCTTGTCTTTGTATTCAGGCATTGCTGATATGGAATCAAGTTTTGCAGCAGGCTGAGTACCACTAGTAGCACTGTCAACATCTGGTGTTTGAGAATAAGGTTTTATTCTGGTTCCTCCAGCTTGATTAGCAAATTGTGGTTGTCCAAAAGCTGGCGCTGCTGTCTGTGAGCCTGAAACAAAGGGAACAAATAATTGGTGAAACAGGTAAAAAAAAGATGACCTTGCTAGTGTAAAAACAGTTTAAAAGGGAGATTTGCAATAAAATAGGCCTGCTGGAGTTAGAAAGAACAAAAGAATCAGTAAATATCAACTGCTACATCATATGTACTCAGAGTCTCAGACAATAATTCACTGAGCATTATATCATAAGTAGCTAAAAATAATGTGAACATCCAATGGGAAAACCTACCAAATGCAGGAGCTGGTGCACCGAAAGGTGACGGAGTTGTTCCAAAGGGAGTGCTACCAGAGGAAACTGTTGTTTGTCCAAAAGATGGTGAAGAACCAAAACTAAATGCGCTAGCTGATGTGCCAAATGAAGGTGTGCTTGAAGATCCAAAACCTGGAGTAGTACTACTCACACCAGATGCAGTAGTCCCTGAAGTTCCAAAACCAGTAGAAGATGTACCAAAGGCTGTAGAACCAAATGCTGGTGTGCTAGAAGCACCAAATAAAGATGTTGATGTTGAACCAAATGCTGGGGTAGTCGATGCACTGAAAGCAGGTGTAGTTGTGGTGCCAAAGGCTGGCGTAGTTGTGCCAAATGCAGGCGTAGTCGTGGTACCAAACGCCGGCGTAGTTGATGAACCAAAAGTGCTGCTGCCAAATGTTGGTTGTGTTTGCTGGAACGTGCTCCCAAAAGGATCTTGACTGGCTAGGAGATGATCCAAAACCCCCAAAACTTGGCTTCTGTCCGAACAAAGATCCTATAACATGTGCAGAGCAGAGATATGACATCACAAATAATACAGCAGATCTTGTTAGGCCAACCTAGTAAAAACTGGCATGATTCCACATGAGTAGCTACTTAGAACAAATGTAGCATGCAGAGAAATGCAAAGATAAATAAAACTTGTGAGATATGGGCAAAACTGCCAATGGCTCATGCTGTTTCCAATTTGTAAGAAGATAATTGTTTCCTAACAAAAAAGAACAATTACGCATAAAACTGGCATCATTAACTAGACAATCTAGAAAGTGGCTTCCTCTGACAACCTGGTATGATCAGCATGGTGAACCAGCAAGAGAGGAAAGCAATAGAGAATGCATAATACTTACCAGAGGATGTGGCACCAAAGGCAGGACTGGGGGATGCACCAAAGGCTGGTGTGGAGCTCCCAAACGGAGAGGAGGATGGGGTGCCAAATGTGGGAGTGGATTGCTGCTGGCCAAAGGCACCAGTAGATGTTGTGCCAAATGCGGGAGTGGATTGCTGCTGGCCAAAGGCACCAGTGGATGTAGTTGCAAAGAGCGAGCTTCCAGTCTGTGCCCCAAAAGTTGTCGTTGGGCTGCCAACCGGTTTTGGGGCAAAGGGATTGTTGGCAGCAGTGGAAGACTGGCCGAATCCCTGCGGAGTTCCAAATGAGGTCTGGCCAAATGGGCTGGTGGACGACTGCCCGAATGCTGCAATGAAGATAGCATACACGAGAGGTGAGAAGATTATCAACATTGCAAAAAAAAGAAAAGAAAAAAAAAGTATACTCTCTATGGAGACATGTAAGGGCTTGCAGCAAGGGAAACTTGAACTGTACAATCGTAATGAGGTATTGCATTGTACCAGCTATCATATATTATACAAATATAAATGAAAACGATGAGCACTGAAGCATTCTTCTGTTTTATTTGCAAGTAGATAAAAGAGTTTGGTTAGGTGTTCCACAGATCCTTGAAGTTGAGACTGCAAGTAGCCTATTTGATTGACGAAACCCTAGTGTGCGGAGGCATATGGACGATCCATCGAAACATATGAAATCAAATAATCAATCGAACGGGAAGCAAGCGCAGCAGTAGCAATACATACATACGAGAACGGAATCGAGGATTTAAAAGCAAGATCATGGAATCCAATGTGATGGAATCGACGAGAATAGGAGGGGATCAGGGGGAGAGTGCTTAGAGCATCTCCAAGAGTTTTCTATTTTTTCCTCCTAAAAACTTATAGTTTCGCAACTTAAAAAATTTAGGGAGAAAAAAAAGAAAGACATCTGCCAGAGTTTCTAATAATCACCGCGACGAGCCGGCAGGTGACCTTCTCCAAGCGCCGCAACGGGCTGCTCAAGAAGGCCTTCAAGCTCTCCGTGCTCTGCGATGCTGAGGTCGGGCTCATCGTCTTCTCCCCGCGCGGCAAGCTCTACGAGTTCGCCAGCGCCGCCAGGTGCGTCCTCCTCTTGCCATCCTTCCTTCGGCCTGCATGCTTCTCCCGGCCCACCGACAAATCTGAATACGAGTCCCGCGCGTTCCATCCGTTGTCTAGCTCGTTGCGCCCCGCAGGCCGCAGCAGTTGCTCCTTCGATTTCAAACTGTCGGTGGTGAATTTGACTTGATTTTTCTGGGATTTGGTTGAACTGGGTTTTCCTGCAGCGGCCTGCTGCTCTCGAGCGCGCTCTGCTCCTCCTCTCGCTACCTCTGCCCCGCGTTGCTCTCCTCCTCGATGCCGCCGTCCAGGTTCTTCTCCTCGACGGCAGCGGCGACGGCCCGGGCCTGCTCGTGCGGCATCTCCAGCTGCGGCTCCTGCTCCTGTTCTCGTTGCTCGCGGCTGCTCTCTTCCAGCATGGCTGCGGGTCGTCCAGCGCTGCCACCGCAGCGACGGCGCTCCGGTCGTTGGGCTGCGCCACGAGGGAAAACGCACGGGAGGCGAAGGAAACCGAGCGGGAGTCAAACCATAAGCGCGAGGCTACGGTGTCTAAAGTTACGTGGATGATGAGATTTTTTAGACTCCTAAAATAGGAGTTGGTTATGAATTTTTTATGAATCTTTCTGAAAACTTAGGATTAAGATGAGGTTTAGAGGACTCTTAGAGATGCTCTTACGGTTGGTGAAGCCAAACATGGCTGTCGATGCTTCTTTGTCAGCATCGCCAAAGGAGCGGAACATGATCCAGCCACCAGCCAGGCGGACGACGCTGGGCCAGAACGCATCGCGGTCGCTTTGAACCAGAGCGTACCAGAACTAAGGAGAAGCGACCGAGCCCGGCGCGCCAATATGCGATTCGATGGACACGAGTGGGCGTGAATCCTAGGCTAGACACAGCTGCGCCCGCGTGATTCACGCTGAGACCAAGGCCTTGTATAAATACCGAGAGAGAGACAGAGGAAAGGGGATATACAATCAGAACCAAATCAATACTAAGCTTCCTCCTCCATCTATCTTGCGTGTTTCCCCCTCCTGCTCCCTTTCTTCTTCCCCAATCCTTCCCCTCCAATTTCTGATGCTAACATTTGGTATCCAGAGCTTTTCGATTCTCTTCCACGTTTCCCCTCCTCTACTCTGATTCGCAATTTGCCGTGGTTGGTTGATCTTGTCGTGCTGCAGTGAGCTGATGTAGCACGATTGAGTTCCTATAATTCCTTAGATCCGCGAGTCGAGCCGAGAACATGCGTCCTAGATTGATCACCACCGCCACCACCACCAAAGCCCCTGATCCGATTCCACTACACCCGCCGAGCCACGCAGAGTGAAACAATAACCTCGACACGCAACTTCTGCTGAAGGAGATCCAGAAGCTTTCCGTCGAGCAGGCCACCATCCAGAAGCAACTCTCCGACCAGAGGGACCTTCTCGAGCGCCGGTTCATCGAGGTTGATGAGAGCCTGGACAAGCGCTTCAAGGACGTCAACGCTGTGGTGGAACAGAGGATCATCGACTCCGAGCTTCGCCAGGACGCACGCCTCAGCACCATCGAGAAGGCCACATCTGACCTCAACTCATGGCGCCAAGAGCACGAAGGCATTGTCGACGACCTTCGTCTTCGCATCGGCAAGCTCGACAAGTACTGGAACCGGTCGGTGATCGAGTCCGCCGCCGCTCACATCAAGCTGGCCATCTTCACCGAGCCATCGGTCAAGTCGGAGCAGCACGCCGCATCTGCATCTGCTGGCTACAAGGCTGCTCGGCCCAATGGGCACGGCGCCGATCCTCACCACCGGGAGAATGAGTTTGGGGTTGTCACGACCTATACTCATTTCCTGGTCACGGGTATGGACTACTCCTCTACAAATCCCCCTAAGATTCATGGCACTGCATATGACTTAGTGTTATCCCGCAACCGCCCACCCGAGCACCACCATAACCCCACCAGCAAGCTCCCAAAAATGACCTTCCCAACCTTTGATGGCATCAATCTTAAACTCTAGATTACATGCGCTGAGGATTACTTTGAGATGTACTCGGTTGATCCTTCCGTTTGGATTCAATGCTCTCGCATGTAGTTCCTTAGCCCTCCAAAGCGCTGGATTCAGTCTGTGACTGAACAACTAAAGACCATGAAATGGTCTGATTTCTGTCAAGCATTGCATACCCACTTTGATCGCGATCAGCATGAGTTTCTCCATCGCAAAATGAACCGCATCCGCCAAATATCTTCTGTCCAAGATTTTTTTAATTGTTTCTCTAAGCTAGTTGACCACCTCAAAGCCTATGATGCCAATACCAATGCTCTGCATTACATCACTCATTTCCTAGATGGCTTACATTCTGAAATTCGTACTGTCATTCTTGTTCAGCGCCCTGATTCTCTGGATACTGTGTATACTTTGGTGTTGTTGTAGAAAGAGGCTGTGGAGTCATCAAGGAAACGTGACTTCAAGCCGTGGAATCATAAGGCTGGCTATCCCCTTCCTCCTCGACAAGATCGTGTGCAAGCTGGGACGGCGGACAAGTCCGCTTTGAATCAGAAACCGTTGGACAAGAAGCTGGTTGATCTCAAGGCTTACCAGAGTGCCCGTGGATTGTGTGATCACTGCAGAGAGAAGTGGAATCGTGACCACAAGTGTGCGCATCAAGTGAGACTCCATGTACTGGACGAGCTCTACGCTATTTTCTCTAACGACACAGTAGACTGTCCGACACCAGATGGCGATGATGGGTCAGAGCCGAAAGAAACCTGTTGCTGTCTATGCTCTAACACTGTAGCCCAATCTGGGGTAAAGACATTACAATTCCAAGGCATGTTTCAGTAGCAGCCGGTCTTGATCCTACTGGATTCAGGTAGCTCCACATCATTCATTAGTTAGCAGTTACTGTCTCAACTGTCTGTCAACCCAATTCAGTGCCCTTCACTAGCTGTTAAAGTAGCCAATGGTGAGCTTATGCAGTGTTCTGTTCAATTGCCCGCAGCAGTATGGAGTATTCAGCAGTATCAGTTAACTCATGATTTGAAGGTCTTGCCCATCACACACTAGACATAATCCTTGTCATGGATTGGTTGCAGCTTTTCAGTCCAATGAAGGTGGATTGGTTGCATCGCTGGTTGGTCATCCCTTATAAGGGTACAACTGTCAGGTTACAGGGCAATCTATCATTAGGAGTTACTGTGGATGATGAACTGTTAGTGCAGATATTTAGTGTCACTCAGCAACCCACTGTTGCCAAGGTTCAATTACCTCAGGCCATTAGTGCCTTACTAGACGAGTTTCCTTCAGTGGTTTGTCCACCTGACCAACTACCGCCTAAGAGGGACTGTGGCCATGCGATACCGTTGATTGAAGGTGCTAGGCCTGTCACAGTGCGACCATACCGTTACCCACCAGCCCTCAAGGATGAGATTGAATCTCAGGTTGAATCTATGCTGCAACAAGGAATCATACAACCTAGCACTTCGCCATTCAACTCGCCTATGTTGCTGGTATGAAAGAAGGACGGCTCCTAGAGATTTTGTGTGGACTATCGCTACCTCAATGCCCTCACTATCAAGATTGCATTCCCTATCCCAGTGTTTGAACAACTGATGGATGAGCTCGCGGGTGCCCGGTATTTCTCCACTCTGGACCTCGTGTTAGGCTATCACCAGATACGGTTGCGTGAAGGTGAAGAGCATAAGACTATGTTCTCCACTCATGTGGGTCATTATGAATTCAAGGTCATCGCCTTTGGACTTTCTGGTGTGCCCGACACTTTCCAAGGCGCCATGAACAGTACTCTGAAACCTTGCCTCCACCGGTGTGCTATTGTCTTCTTTGATGATATACTCATTTATAGCAAGTCCTTTGAGGAGCATATCGACCATCTGCGTCTGGTATTTTCTTTGCTAGCCAAAGATCAGTGGTGCATCAAATTATCCAAGTGCAAGTTCGCGCAAACTGAGATCTCTTATTTGGGTCATGTCATCAGTTCCAAAGGTGTGGCTATAGATCCAACTAAAATTGAGGCAGTGGTATCCTTGCCAACGCCGACTACAGTCAAAGAACTTCGTAGCTTTCTTGGCTTTGTAGGCTTCTACCGCCGTTTCGTTCGCCATTATGCAGTCATCTCAAAGCCACTGACATCGTTGTTGAAGAAACACTCTCTGTTCATTTGGTCTTTTGAACATGAGACGGCATTCCAAACTCTAAAGAAGTATTTGTGCTCAGCTCCCTTTCTGGCACTTTCTGATTTCAAGCGCCAGTTCTGCATTAAGACTAATGCTTCTCACTATGGGGTCGGTGCTGTGCTCCTTCAGGAGGGACATCCACTCACTTTCCTTAGTCGAGCTCTTGGCCCCAAGAACCAAGGTTTGTCAGCCTACGAGAAAGAGTACATGACTATCCTCATTGTTGTCGATCAGTGGCGCTCATACTTGTAGCTTGGTGAGTTTATCATCTTTACCGATCACAAGAGCCTCATCTATTTGAGTGATCAGCGCCTTCACACTGCATGGCAACAAAAAGTTTTTACTAAACTGTTGGGGTTGTAATACCGCATCGTCTATAAACCGGGCACTGACAATCGAGTTGCAGATGCACTATCTCGCCTTGGCCACCCAGAGGAGCTATCTACGGTGTCAGCTCTAGTGCCCTCCTAGCTCGACACCATCATCCATAGTTATAACTCTGATGCTCGGGCTCAGGAACTATTGACTAAGTTAGCTGTTTCTGAAAACTCTGAACCTCACTTCTCTATGCACCAAGGGCTACTTCGGTACAAGGGACGCATTTGGGTTGGGACTGATGTGATCCTCCAACACAAGATTATTGAGGCTTTCCATTCTTCGCCAGTGGCTGGCCACTCGAGATTTCCTGCAACCTATCGTCGTATCAAGCCACTCTTTGCCTGGACAGGTCTGAAATCCTCAGTTCACTAGTTTGTTGCTGCATGTCCTACTTGTCAGCAGGCCAAGCCCGATCGTGCTAGGTACCCGGGTCTCCTTCAGCCTTTATCGGTTCCCACTATGGCGTGACAAAGCATTTCAATGGACTTTGTGGATGGACTTCCATCGTCTGGGGGCAAGAATTGCATTCCGGTGATTGTGGATCGTTTTCCAAGTATGCACACTTCATCCCAATGGCTCACCCATTTACTGCTCTTACAGTGGCCAAGACATTTATCACTAATGTGTATCGCCTCCATGGTCTGCCATTGTCCATTGTTTCTGACCGAGACAAGGTGTTCACGAGTCAGCTATGGCAAGAGCTCTTCTGTTTGGCTGGCGTCACTCTCAAGATGTCTTTAGCTTACCATCCACAAACCGACGGGCAAACGGAGCACGTGAATCAATGCATGGAAACGTTCTTGTGTTGCTTTGTCAGTGCATGTCCAGATAAGTGGCTTGATTGGATTTATCTAGCCGAATATTGGTA